GAATACTTTAGTTGTAATTCCTGCATTGCAGGGGGTTGGATTAGATGGCCCCTGGTTGCCTGGTCCAACTCTACAATTCTACGATTCTATGTTTATAGTAGTAACCCCATATCTAGGTGTTTCCCCTCTAATATGCTAATTTAGCATAGAAAATTAACACAATAATAATAGTAAAGCATCCTAGGTAAAGTTGTTTGGTCAAAGACAGTTAAGGAAGGGGTCAATCTCCCTCACTCCTTACAGGAGCTTCTCAATCTGTGAGGGAAAGCCAATTTCAATTTCAGTCTTGAGTTAAAATATATCAGCTAGCTAAGCTAGCTAAGCTAGAAAGAACTTCTGCCAGAGGCTGGTTAGAACAGCTGATTATCTGAAACTATAGTGTATAGCTTATTTAACTTATATGCAGAATTCATCATGCGAAAGGCTGGGCTGGATGAATCCCAAGCCAGAATTAAGATTGCCAGAAGAAATATCAACAACCTCAGATATGCAGATGATACAACCTTGATGGCAGAAAGTGAGGAGGAATTAAAGGAATTTAATGAGGGTGAAAGAGGAGAGCACAAAATATTGGTCTGAAGCTCAACATCAAAAAACCGAAGATCATGGTCACTGGGCCCATCACCTCCTGGCAAATAGAAGGGGAAGAAATGGAGGCAGTGAGAGATTTTACTTTCTTGGGCTCCATGATCACTGCAGATGGTGACAACAGTCACGAAATTAAAAGACGCCTGCTTCTTGGGAGAAAAGCAATGACAAACCTAGACAACATCTTAAAAAGCAGAGACATCACCTTGCCAACAAAGGTCCGTATAGTAAAAGCTATGGTTTTCCCAGTAGTGATGTATGGAAGTGAGAGTTGGACCATAAAGAAGGCTGATCGGCGAATAATTGATGCTTTTGAATTATGGTGCTGGAGGAGACTCTTGAGAGTCCCATGGACTGCAAGAAGATCAAACCTTTCCATTCTGACGGAAATCAGCCCTGAGTGCTCACTGGAAGGACAGATTGTGAAGCTGAGGCTCCAGTACTTTGGCCACCTCGTGAGAAGAGAAGACTCCCTGGAAAAGACCCTGATGTTGAGAAAGATGGAGGGCACAAGGAGAAGGGGGCGACAGAGGACGAGATGGTTGGATAGTGTTCTCGAAGCTACCAGCATGAGTTTGACCAAACTGCGGGAGGCATTGGAAGACAGAAGTGCCTGGCGTGCTCTGGTCCATGGGGTCACGAAGAGTCGGACACGACTAAACAACTAAACAACAACAACAACATAGTGTAAGGGAGTTCCTTCATTCACATCCACACCATACATTTAAAAGCACTCTCATACCACTGTACACAGTCATAAGAACATAAGAAGATCCTGGATCAGGCCAATAGCCCACCCAGTCAAGCATCCTGTTCTCACAGTGGCCATCAGATGCCAGTGAGTAACCCATACAACAGCACTCATCACTCTGCAGTTTCCAGCAACTAATATTAAGAAGCACTGCTACCTCCAACATTGGAAGAAGAGAAGAGGTGTCGTGGCTAGTAGCAACTGACACAGTGGCCTCCCCTATCAAAGAATCCTGGGAACTTTAGTTTGCTAAGGGTGTTTAGGAAACCCACTCAGAGGGGGTGTGAAGTGGGAAACTTTGGAAGCAACTTAGAAGGATATACAGTGGTACCTCGGGTTAAGAACTTAATTTGTTCCGGAGGTCCGTTCTTAACCTGAAACTGTTCTTAACCTGAGGTACCACTTTAGTTAATGGGGCCTCCCGCTGCCACTGTGCCACCGCCACACAATTTCTGTTCTCATACTGAAGCAAAGTTCTTAACCCGAGGTACTATTTCTGGGTTAGCGGAGTCTGTAACCTGAAGCGTCTGTAACCTGAAGAGTCTGTAACCCGAGGTATCACTGTATTTTAAAGGTCTAACAGCCTATATTCCCATGCTTTACTTTGCTTCATGCTTTGCAATTTTACATCTCTGCTGGGGCTCACTCACCAAAGAGTAGTTGCCTGAAACCTGATTCTAGGCATCCAGGGAATTCTCCTTTTTATTTTGTCATATGTATTTTTCCTTTTAACCAAATACAAATTAAACCAAAACTAGTTGCTGCCACCCCACCCCACTTTTAGCCACCTAGAAACAAGGGGGAGGGAAACTGGGGATATCCAAATAATTTTTTTAATCCTGGGATCGTGGACCAGAGTGCTTCAGGTCTCCAGCTAATCCCTTGCCGTTTACACAGAGCATCAGCCAACTCTCCAGTCCCTTGTTTCTCCCCAAGAATAGGGCAAATTTCTGGCTAAGGTCTTAGATTTCCAATAGCATGGATCCCAATGTAATCTGGGCATATGAGGATTCCTGAATTCTGAGGGTGGCAATCACACATTGACTCGACTAGTTGTGAAACTTTTATTACAAATAAAATATCAGGGGAAAGAAGGCAATGGGTCTAACAGAATGCATAATAGGCCACAGTGTTCTGGATCAGTTTACACATAGGCTGAGTAGGCAAGTAGGCCATGAGGAGAATCAGAGTCTTGGTGGTTTGGAAGACTATGCCTGGATCCCTAGTGCTGACGCATGAAACAAAGCTGCGAGGACAGCTCAGCCTTTTTTGCCTCCTGTTGCTGGATGGCAAGTCTTCTGCCTCTATGTTACCAATGAGTCAGTTGGTCCTTCTGGCTTAGAAAAATGGTGGGACTAGGATACCATGGTCCTGGGTCACAATTGCTAGCTAAAAGAGCTGATGTAAGGTTTACAGGCTTATGAGGGTGCTTTTGGTAAGATTTCTTACCTGTCAATCAGTCTTTACTACCTGTTTCCAACTGAGGACATGGACAAATAGCAAAGATTGGCCACCAGCCTTGACCTTCAGGACAAAATTGTATCAATGCCAGTTAAGTTACTCCACTGAATCTTGTGCAAAGCCAACAGGCTCACTGAAAATCCAGTTCTGTCATATCTAACATTAGTTCACATTTGATTGATTGATAGTAGAGATTATCTATATGGATTTACGATTGTCAGTGCTGGCTGAAAGGGCTGATGCAGACTTTACAGGCTTATTGGGTAGATTTCTTGTTAACTGAGGATAAATCTGAATCTATTTCCTCTTGAAAGCAAAGGCTGAATTTTGAAGTTAAGTCATCACCTCCACATGCAGGACGGTGCTGGGATCAATGCCACAGCAGTAATCCAGATGGCATGCTCATAGCTGACAGATTTGTGGCAAGTTTGCCTTTGTTCAGTTTGATAAACTAAATTTCACATTTAATGTGTTTTGTGTGGGGATGAATGGATTTTCTCCTTGCTATTCCTCTTTGTTCCCTGGGTTCCCTGTGCCTTGTATTCACTCCTCTTGAATTCTCGTTTAACAAGGAAGATTTCTAAAATTCATTCTTGAATTGGAACATGAGCATTTTGCTGTGATCTTCAATTTATTTGGGTTCATTTGAGCATTCTGGTCAAAAGACTGCTACAATCTATCCTGCCCATGGCAGGATAGAGCAAGGCAGAAAAGATCCAAGTAAGGAACTTCCTCAGAAAAAAATCTGAGAAGTAGCTGAAGGCTTTTGTGCTTTTAGGGCCAGATCACATGCCAAGGTTCCTCCTCTTTATTGAAAAATGGAAGCCTTCAAGGGGAAAAGCCATTGCCTTGGAAACTAGCATCCCTGACAAAGTTCTTCCAGGTATGATGCTGCAGGTGTTGGGCAGAAGCCATACTTCATTGGAGGAACCCCACTGGGGGCTCTTGGGAGTGCCACAGTATGTCCTCAGCCCCAGTGTGAAAGGCTGGTATCAGCCACCACACACCCAGGTTGCTTGCAAGGCCCACAGGAGTAGCCATTCCATACCCTTAGAAAATTCTCTAGTGAAAATAGGGACATCCCAAGGAAAAGTGGGGCATTCTGGGATCAAATCAGAAACCGAGATGACTTCTCTAAATCAGAGATGTCCATGGAAAATAGGGACACTTGGAGGGTCTGCCATTCCATGGTGGGCCTAAGAATCGGACAACTCCCTAAAGGTTGCACAGCATAAGGGCTGGGGGCAGTATTGGCCAGCAGACAATCTAATGATTGGATTTCTGTCCCATGGTCCCCCAAACTCTGGTAAGCTAAAATTAATAAGGGTTGTGGTCAATTATAGCTCATATTAGTCTCTGTATCTTTGCTCCTTTTGAAAAACAGCTGCAGCAAAGTTGCTTTCTTTGCAGTGCTTTATCAGTGCCCTTGGAACATCAGAAGGTCAGTTTGTGGTGTTGGTGGTGAAAAGACAACAATAAACTAAAATAACTGATGTAGTTGCAAACTACTCTAGCACAGAGCTCTGGACAAAATTTGGAAGATAATATGGAACGATAGACCATATCCACTATACTGGTTGCAGTGCAGCATGAAGGTCAACAAATGATTAATGCCAAACTTTGGGAACCAATATGAATGAGAATTTTGGAAGAATCTTGAGTTTTCTCATGGTGAATTTATCGTATCATTTTGTCATGGAATATTTATACAACTTAGATGATAGTTGGGGACAACTGAAGTAGTGAGAGTTGTAATTTCTTGGTTATGTTCAAATTCTTTCAATAATGCAGACTAGCGGGAAATGAGAATAAAAGCTCAAGTGGAGAATGTAGCCAAGTGATTAGTAGGGGCCACTTGAGGACATCGTTTCAAATATTGAACTTCATGGAATATGGAGGGGAAGGTTATCATCATGCTTTCTGAGGGTCGTTCATTGCTAAAACAAAAATAAAATAAAACATCATGGGGACATTATATTTAGTAAAGCTGTAACAAGTCAGAAACTCATTGCCTCTTATTTAATTAAATATGAACTCCAAAGAATAATGTATCTGTATCTGTATCTGTATATTTATAGATATAGATATAGATATAGATATAGATATAGATATAGATATAGATGATATAGATATAGATATAGATGATATAGATATAGATATAGATATAGATAGATAGATATAAGGTAAGGATGCAGAAGAGTGGTGAGAGGCACCAGCTGGGGAATCCCCAGGGGAAGAAGGTTCAGAGCTATGAGATTGGTGGTGGGACAACAATGGGGAGGGGTGTCAGATGGAGAAGATGCAGAAGACTGGCAGGAGGAGGTGTCAGAAACTGAAGCAGTAACAGGGTTTAGTGAGCAGGAAGAGGCTGTGGCAGAGAGCAGTCCAGATTTAGAGGCAGAAGCAGAGAGGGACGAAAAGGCAGAGTGGAGGCAGGCTGCTGAAGAATCCAGGGAGTCTCCTCCTCCAGCTGTGACTAGCTCCCTCTCCCCAGTCTTCCAGAACATGCAAAGAAATGAAGGTGGCAGAGCAACAAGAAGGAGCTTTAGGCTGCTGGGGAAGGAACCTGGGGGGGGGGGAGCCTTAGAGGGCGGTGGGAAGGCAGGGAACTTCAGTCCTCGCAACTGCTTCATTGGGCCAAAACCTACTGAGAAAGGTTGCTGTGACCACTAGGACTGAGCTGTTTTGTTTCTTTGAATAAAGCATTAACTTCACTGGTTTCGGGTGTTTTATTGCTGACCTACACCTGACTCCAGCTCCTGACACTGTAGCAGAAAAAGCACCTGAACTGAATATGATGCTTGATTATAAAAGTGTGTGGGAATAGGTTCTCCCATTATGATATATTGTTAATGCTCTGTTGAAAAAAGAAGCAATTTTTGATCACTAGTTTTGATATTTATATTCTGACAGGTGCTGTGTCAGAAACCCTGAGATATTCTAAAGGCTTAGAAGATGAATGTCAGACTGTTTTAATATATGTCTATATCTCTTTTGCTAGGAGCAATATATATTTTCTTTATAAAATACATACACAAAGACTTGAAATTAGGGGTGCACCCACACACATATAAATGACCTAGTTCAGAGATGCCACAGGTGTTTCTCTCATCCATGCAGTAGAACTATACTATGTGTGGGCTGCTCCATATATTTCCATAGGGTAAGCATATCTGTTTATCATTCATGGGTGTTTACAGTTCTATTCAAAATAAAGTAATTGGAATTTGTGCCAATGAGCCCTAAAGATTTAGCAGATTGGGGGGGGGGAGTTGGTCTCTGAGGACTGTCACATTCTGCCCAGTTTGAGGTGTGTCTGTGTGCTACAGTTTTGTTACACTTTTTCAGAGTGAAACCAATTGGTTTCCCCCTCTATACTAGATAAAAATAGTAAGGGTATTCATTAGATTCAGATAATTTAAGTTTGAAACTCAAGTCTCCCTCTAAAGGTAAATGCAAGGATTGTGGGGTGAGGGGAGAGACTCCTTTGTGACTAACAGGTCTAGCTTGTAATCAGAGGGAAATAATTTACCAGTATTTTCCAATCCCAGCGCTTGGGGGCGGGGGGAGGAGAATAAAAGATTTGCAAGAGTGAAATTTATGTCTCTGTGCTTTGGGAAGATACTAGAATGGGGAAGCATTTCACAAGTTACAGGTCTAGCTTGTAATCAGAGGAAATTATTTAACCCATGAAGTTCATCCCTTTGTAGCTATTCCCACCCAAAAACATATTTAAATGTGACTAGGATATATGGCCCTGGTCCTATTTGTCTGCAGTTTGAAAGTTGTTCTTGTTTTACTTAAAGGCACTTCTCTTATGTTTACAATTTGCAGGTCAAATACCCACAAAACTCGAGGCTAGCCATTTAGCAGGTTTTATCCACTGTGGAGAGGCCTGCAAATTTCACCCACTTTGCCATTTTTCAATAGTGAATGGAGTAGGTGGGAGAAATGGGTGCACCCTGTCCGTGTGGCAAATCTACTGCAGCCGTCCTTCTAAAAATGTGCCCGGTTCATGTTATGAAAAGCAGGCAGCCAGTCAGCCTCCAGCTTCTTCAGAGAAAGTTGGTCATTTGGAATACTCCAAGGTGATACAAATCTGGCCCGCATATCTTGGTGCCGCATATCTTGGTGCCCCACCGTGCCCAGTAGAATTTTGCTTGATGTTAGGACACAACAGCCAGTATCAATGCTATCCTCAAATATAGTGCTTGATTTTTCATGTTCTGTTGTCTGCATAGCTCCATCCCCAGCTCCATTTCTTGGTCATATGTGAGTATGATGTAATCTTGGGAAAGTTTCACAGAAAGTTGGAAATGGGGAAATGTCACTGTGCAGGTGCCATGTGTGGTGAGTCATTGCTGGTAATGGGTTGCTGCATCACGGAATGACTTCCTCCACCCAGACCATTGGCTATCCTCAGCTAGAAGGGTTTCGATGTATCCTATTCAGGTTGCAACTTGCCCCAGAAATACTAATCTTCATTGGCAGTGACTTCTAGCTCCATGTTCACAGCTCCTGGCTACCTATTTCTCAGCTCTGAAAAGAACTGTGTGTGTGTTTCCTGTAAGAGAACCAGGAGTTTCCTAAAAAAAGAAAAAAGAAAATAATAATTAACAATCCAAAGATAGCCCTTTCTCATGAACATAAGGGAGCAAATGAGTAGAATGGATGAGCTCAGGGGACTGATTATTACCTATGGTACATGATGTTACTCAGCATAAGGCTAATTCACCAGTATAATTATAATACATCTGGGCGAGAATGATTTAGTACAGCATCCCAACATGCAAGCCTCGTAATTAAGAGAGAATGGGATTTGGCTACTTTTAGAGTACACCTTTCCAAATTTTTGTTTGATCCAGTTGGCACCAGTAGCAGCAAATTTAATATGAGAGGAAGGCTTACAGGGCCGTTGTATTGTATTTTCTTGGACATATTCAGAATGTAGTGATTTAATTTCAAGTGGGCCAATTTCTCCTTTCCTTAAAAAAAAATAAAATGCACCATCCAGCTGCCTTTAGAGGGATTTCCTGGATATAATTACAAACTCATTGTGGCTGCATGCCTGAATGTGTATGACAGTCTCTTTACTTTTAATATATACATTATCAACCTGAAGCTTTTTGAGCCAGACAGCAGCCAGACCAGCAGGAGAAAAAATGTGTTCAGATTAATTCTTGTGCCAACAGTTGGGTATGGACACCTAAATCTCGTTGACTGCTGTGGAATGTCAGGATTATAGACTAACAGTCTGTTCCTAATCATGTTTACTTGGAAGTAAGGCCCATTGATTTCAGTAGGATATATTTCACAGTATTTGGGGGGGGGGATTGTAGGCTTGTGAAGAATGCATACATTGGCAGAATGTTACACATCCCTCTTTCCTGTGGTTTTCCACCCTCTCAAATCTAGATTTTTGATGCTGGTTTGGGTAGCACCCAGGGGATCATACTGACCTACCTCCATCTTAGCTCAGATGATTAGAGCATGGTGCTGATAATGCTGAAGTCACGGGTTCAGTCCTACCTGCATATTCCTGCATTTCAGGGGGTTGAACCAGATGACACTTGGGGTCCTTTCCAACTATAGAATTCTGATTCTATTGTTCCATGCATGCAGCTCATTCATCATACATGCCTACCCCATATACAGTTGTTTGACTGCTTTGATCTGTGGAACTGATACTTATAAGTGGCACCATCAAGGAATCAGTCCTTCAGTGTGGCAGCATGTATGCTCTGGAACTTGCTGCCCATTGATATTAGGAAGGGGCTTTTGCAATATCAGCGATGCAGGTGGCGCTGTGGTCTAAACCACTGAGCCTAGGGCTTGCCAATCAGAAGGTCGGCGGTTCGAATCCCTGGGACGGAGTGAGCTCCCGTTGCTCGGTCCCAGCTCCTGCCAACCTAGCAGTTCGAAAGCACGTTAAAGTGCAAGTAGATAAATAGGTACCACTCTGGCGGGAAGGTAAACGGCGTTTCCATGTGCTGCTCTGGTTTTGCCAGAAGTGGCTTAGTCATGCTGGCCACATGACCCGGAAAAACTGTCTGCGGACAAACGTCGGCTCCCTCGGCCAGTAAAGCAAGATGAACACCACAACCCCAGAATCCTTTGCGACTGGACTTAACTGTCAGGGGTCCTTTACCTTTAACTTTGCAATATCATTTTTTGGTGCTTGCTACGAATGTTTAGGCAACCCTGCCACCCAGATATTGACATGTATTGCTAACATGTAATTTTATTTTTAACATTGAATTCTATTTTATAATGCCTATTAAAAAAACCCCCTGCTGATTTTACTTATATTTTGAAGAAAATTAGTTCAGCTTTTACTTTTAAAATCTGATTCTATTATCGGAGGTTATGATGATTAAGTGGCTCACATAATAATAATAATACTGTAACAAAGCAACATAATGAGAAAAACTAAATACAACAACATGAGACACGTCTGAGGCAGGAAACAATACGAGGCAGTTGGTCCCTCATAACTGGCAATCTTAACTGAACATAAAGGAAAACACACTTGAGGGAGGGGCTGATTCCAGAGGAAAACACACAACCCCGCCCACCAGATACCAAACATTCTACTGATCAAATTAGGCCCCACTGTTTTTCATACAGTGACAATACCCAGATTATGTATGTGTGTATATTTAAAAAAAATGTAGGATATTCCCCACAATGTATAAGAATTTACTGATAATCTTAATATCTGAAGGGTAAGTGTGTGAAAGTGTGTGTGAAAGCCTTGAGAAAGTGTGTGAGAGCTCATACATTTCATAATTGCCGATTCAAAACCTAAAATAAACTCAGAAGAACATATTGTTTATTCTATAGTGTGTTCTTGTAGGTCTCTGATTCAGTCTCTAGCATTTCCAGGTAGGCTGGGAAAGGCTCTTTGGCTGAAACCCTGGATAGCTGCTGCAAGTCAGTGTAGGAATTCCCCACACTGTTGCCGTTGTCTGCAGCTGTTGTTCAACTACGACTCCCATCATCTTTAGCTACCAGGACCAGTGGTCAGGGATGATGGGATTTTTAGTGCAAAAACACTTGAAGGCCCTGCTGAGTGTGGATCTACCCTTCTTTTGCATGCATGAAACTAATCAACTACACTACGCCTTGTCAGTTAAATGCAGCTTACTCCTTCATATTTTAAAAAGTGACAGTTCAGGTCACCTCTGTCTTTCAGAAAACTAGAGGGAAATCTAAAATGTAAGAACAGAAAAGAATGAGAGTTCACTTATGAACAAACATGAAAAGGAAACTTAGAAGGCTACATTGCAATTGTGCAGAGGTTGTGTATAATTGAATAGGCCATGTGAATTACCATATGTACCAAGAGTTCATGCAGAATTATGTGGTTTTTTTAAATGTGCATTTATGCTTATTTTCTATATACTGACTACGGCATTGCTTTGATTTGTTAATGTCATATCAGATTTTTGCCATCATTTTATATTAGCATATGGTTAATGTGCTATGAACGTTTGCCATCATTCTGATCTACTTCAATTACATACTACTTTTGCACATTTGCAATTTGGCCTTATAAGTGTTGCTGCTTTGTGGAGAGGGGAAGAATGTCAAAGAATTCCTACAAAATGGAAAAGGAAGCAGAAATTGTTGCAATTCAAATACTCATCTGTGGTCAGGAATGGAAATCAGTCGAGCAAATACAACCAGTATTCATTAATATCACTATTGTGCTTTTTGAAGCCCACATATGATACGTAATTAATGACTAAGTGGTTTTGACATTTCCTTTATCTTGAAATGATTGTTAAGTTATGCAAATGGTTAAGTAACTTATGTAGCTCATGTTATGTAGACAAGTATTGTAGTATTTGGTGGGAAATGAATTGCAGCAGAATGGAAACAGCACTAATTATGACAAGTACAGGTTTGAACGGAAATCACTACCTTCTTACATCCCTAGGCGATGATGCCTTTCAATGTGTGATGGCCTGAGGCACAACCTGAATTTTGAGCTGCAATTTTCAGAGATATAATCAGCAGCCTTTCTAAATAGGGCACAGTCTCACACCATTCATCTTGCCCCTATTGTGCAGAATGGCTTAAAGACGGAAGAGCTGGTTCACCATTAGAGTTGAGGATATAAAAACCTTATGATGGGGAAAATGAGTGTTTGCCTGGGGCTTGGAGGAAGAAATCTATAATAAAACAGCTATTGATTTTTCACTCAGCATTGCTGAATGTTTCATTGAAAACTAGCCTTGACCCATCATTTGAATTTTCAATTAAGGAAATGTGCTCTGTGACCATATTTGCTATCGCATTCCAAGGATATTTATTTGAGTTGAGTGACATTTTTCTATTTTTTCACCCATTGTTGGCTTTGCACAGAAGTTCACCATTTTTTAAAGAAAGTTGTAAGTGCTAGGCTATGTTAGGATTTTCCAGTGCAGTATTGGGTAAATTTGGTTTATAAATGATTATTAAATATATGTTCGCAGTAATTTCAGGATGAACATTTACTAAGACTGAGCAATTATGACATACCATTGAAGGTTTTAAAGTAGCTCATTTATATGTAGGTATGTAGGTATACAGAAGTCTTAGGCAAGGGAAATACTATAGCCAGTAGTATAGTGTTACACTTAAGCTATGTACCGGAATGAGCTATGAGCAAACGATATTGAGTTCAAATTTCTGTTCAGTCATTAACTCACAATGAGGCCATATTACTAGGCCTGAACTGTTTGCTTCAGTATATCCATCATAATCATCATCTTGGTCTACAGAATTTTTGTAAGGATTACTTGGTGAATGCAAGTGAAGTGTTTTGAGCCAATATGAAAAAAGCACCCTCTGCAAAAGGACCTAGTGTGTGATGTAAGCAATGTCTAACTACAGTGGTACCTTGGTTTACGAACTTAATCCGTTCCGGAAGTCCATTCTTAAACCAAAGCCATTCTTAAACCGAGGTGTGCTTTCCCTAATAAGGCCTCCCGCCGCCAGTGCCCTTCCACTGTTCTGCTCCCATTTGTAGACCGAGGTAAAGTTCGCTAACTGGAACGCTACTTCCGGTTTTGCGGAGTTCTTATACTGAATAGTGTGTAAACAGGGCTGTTCTTAAACCGAGGTACCACTGTAATTGGAAAAAAGTTCTCACAATGCAATTACATTTAGTACCCTATGTATTTGTATGTGGGCAATTGCCAAGCAGTGGCAGGTGACAATAGATGATGTTTTACATCTTACTGACAAATTGTAAACAAAGCATGAGATCCAGATGGCATCCATCTGAGTCTCATAAAGAGCTCAAATGTGAGATTGCCTCACAAAGAGCTGGTTGGCCACCATGCAAAATATAGTTCTGGACTAGATGAATTTCTGATCTAATATAACAGGGTTCTAATTATATTCTTAAGTACTAAGCAAAGTAAAGGTAAAGGGACCCCTGACCATTAGGGCCAGTCGTAGCCGACTCTGGGGTTGTGGCACTCATCTCGCTTTATCGGCCAAGGGAGCTGGCATACAGCTTCTGGGTCATGTGGCCAGCATGACTAAGCCGCTTCTGGCAAACCAGAGCAGTGCACGGAAACACCGTTTACCTTCCCGCCGGAGCGGAGTATTTATCTACTTGCACTTTGATGTGCTTTCGAACTGCTAGGCTGGCAGGAGTCTTAAATACTAATGTGGGTCAAACCAGGGACACAAGCAAAAATTAAAAAATAAGTGTTTCACATAAGGAAAGAGAAAGGAGAGGGCAGAAATTTGGGGGGCAGGGAGGGGGAAAGTGTAGGAAGAAGAACACTGCATCCTATGTAGCAGACTTTGAATTCTAGTCTAGAAAAGGTTGACATCTACTGATCAACGGTGTCTAGGAAGACGAGGAAGATACCAGAGAACAAGTGGAAGTATTAAGGATCTGGAAGATGGGTGAAAATCCCAGGCTAGTATGTCTGAAGCTTCCATGCCAGTCTGACAAAACCTTTTCAGAACTTCTCATGTGTACACTGACGGCTTATCCACACTTACCTTTCTTTTGCTTTTCTGCCTTTCTTCTGCTTTTTCCAGGCGTGGTCGACCCTGTAAAGTGCTGTATCTAAGTGCCCATAATGTTTCCTCCAGAGCTTCTTCCACAAAAGCCTGCTCTTTAAAGCTAAATCAGAGCAAGCAGCAATCTGCTTAAAACCTTTGCTTAAAACCTTTGCTCCGAATGGGTGCTAAAGAGCAGGTTTTTGTGGGGAAAGCTCATGGCAAAAAAGAAAAGGGGGGATGCTTGGATGCAGAGATTTTAAGAGTGGACCTGTGCATCAAAAGAGTAGGGCAAAATATAAGTGTAGATAAGCCCTGCATGGCTAAAGAGAGGTTTGGGATCATGCCCCACCCCTCACCTTTTAACGTTGCATGTGCTGCTGGCCCAGCTCTTTGCCAGATTGTACATTCGGAGTGACATTTGAAAAGAAATGCATGTATCCATGCATAGGGGTTGCATATAACCAGGATTCCTATATGATGCTGTATGTGTGTATACCAATCACATAGCACATCTACAGGTGTATGCAAAAAAGGTGCTCCTTTCCAAATGTTGCTCTGAACACACACACCTCAAGGGGAAAGCAGCACCCCCCAAAAAAACAAGCGTATACTTTGAGAAGGTATGAAGGAGGCATTTGGAAGTAGCCTTTTCCATAAAGGTATCTAGTCCCTAAACAAAGATTGCATGCTTTATGGAGAAGGATCAAGAGCTTTCATTGAACTGATGAATGTGTAATGCAAAAGCTCTTGTTGAAATCATTACAAGATAGCCTTCTGCTAAATAAGATTTTCTACAAGCATATAATGGCTGAATACAAGACACCACAGAATTAACACCCCAGAGATTATTTTAAATTGAAGTGTATGAGCACAGACAAAACAACAGATTTGCTTTAATTTTTTTTTTTTAAAAAAAGGGTAATCATGTTTATGTCAGGTGGAATTAAATTGAAGGCTGAGATGTTTCAGAGTGTTTCATGTCCTTCAAAGGGACTCAGTTCCCATTGACTTCAATCACATCTCACTTTCTTAGTGTCTTTTTGAAGAGGCAGAACATTTTTTCCTGTATAGACAGGGACCAAAATGTCCAGTTTGCTGAAATCAGGTGGCCAGAAATCCAGTTAAGGTTCCTACAAACACTATGTAACTTCCCTGACTTTATTCCAGCTGCCACTGGGCCAATCTGAAGAGCGGGATGACTTCGCTTTAAGAATATAGAGGAGGCCTTAGATAACCCCATTATATAATTTGGAAATGAGAAGAAAGCACTGAGACAGATTTTTAAAAGCAGCAAAACTCAAAATTTGCACAAGAGAGCACAGTCAAGTCATCTCAATCTGCTCCGTGTTATATAAAACTAATTTAGGAATTACACACATGAGGTATGCTTACAAATGATCTTAATTACAAACTAATTACAATTTGGTTCAGCTAATCAGATGATCAGCCGCATTGATTTTTATCAGCTGATTAACCCTAATATAAAGTGTTGCAGAAATGCGCCAGAC